TCTCTCTCTCGCTCTGTGCCCCTTCTTTTTCTTCTCTGCTGATGGCTGGCTGGGCATGGACGGACGCATGCAGGGATATGCAGCTTGGGAGTTTGTGCTATCAGGACTACGGCCAGGGGAGCTGGCAATAATCAGCAAAGAGCAGGTATGGCTTTTTGAAGTTTTTTGTCTTTTTTGTTTTTTTGGTGTACTACTTTTCTCTCCTGTGTGCCGTTGTCTCAGTGATTGTCATTCGCTCGGAAAGAGTTTAGCTGGGATCTCACAACTGCAACACACACCTAATTAGGACCAGGTTCACAGGACCGCACTACAACTAATTAGGACCAGGTTCATGCCGGGTTCAATCTCTATGATTGTCTCTAGCCTGGCAATTTGGCATAGTGCGCCTGTCCGGTTGTCTGTGGCAAGTTGAATGTTTTTGGAACTTCCTTTTTTTTTTTTTTTTTAAGCGTGGCAGTGTCTATTTTTCCTGCTGCGCAAACAAACATGCAGGTAGAAGTGATCAGATCTGGAAGGCTGGAGCATACACAGGGCCTGGCCACACGACTAAGAAAACCAAATAATGTGGGCAGTGCATCTTTCCACACAAGCTGGAAAGATACATGTGTTACTAAAAGTAGTAAAGGATGTATTTGGCCACCTTCTGTGGGGAGATGCACTCACATTCTTTTCTGTTTTGCTAGCAGTGTGGCAAGCCCCATAGTACAGATCATAGGGCCTCGCCGCACTTCTCACCAACTGTGTAAAATGGACAACCTCATGCGTAAAACAGAGAATGTATCTTGCACAAGAGAATGGAAAAATACACCCACCACATATCTTTTGCATTTTTCATGTTTAGTGAGTGGTGCACATGAGGCCCATTACAACAGAAAACTGTTCCTCTGATGGTCAGAGGTCCAGACTTCAAATTCTAAGGCCCTCCCTCCAATGCACAACATTTGAAATGTATCTGAAGCTGGTAATGGTCCTAGTTACATTCAAACTGTTGGGTCAGTCCGGAATGTATATGCTGACCTAGTCCAGATACATGTGCAATGTTGACTAGTGGAGCCAGGCCCAGAGTGATGTCAAAAGCCTTCCTCTTTTGGAAAATGAAGACTGGTTTTGGTAATTTGTGACCGGTTGACGTAATGTTGACATCCAAGGGCATGCTCACATGAGGACATTTTAGGGTTTTTTTGTTTTGTTTTTAAACTAGTTTAAACCAAGGAAGATTCTCACGCCCGGCTGGGCACCCGGGTGTGGCGCCCGGGGTACCTTAAACTAGTTTAAACCTAGGAAGATTCTCACGCCCGGCCGGTCCTGTCCGGCCGGGTGCCCGGCCGGCCAATAGAAAAAAAGAAAAAGGTTTTGTTGGCTGTCAAAAGGGGGAGGAGGGGGGTATAAATTGGTTTTAAAGGCGCTAAAGGGGTTTAAAGGGGGGTGCCTTTGTGTGATTCTGTTTTTTTTTTTTTTTTTCTGATGCTGTGAGGAATTATAATGCTGTCTCTTATACACATCTAGATGTGTATAAGA